CACACACACACACACATTTCTCTGCTTCTTCCCTGGTTATTATCAGAGAGTGATATAGGAATATGCTCACTAATAAAAGTTAGCTGGTTCTTTTATGACATTATCCAATCTGCTGTGAATCAACGAAAACACTTTGTTTTTTTTCCTTTTTTACAACCACATGTAACATTTAAAGCTGCCTTTCCTTCTGTGTGTTTCATTTGAAGGTTGCAATCGGTTAGCTGATCGATTCACCTTTAGTGTGGGGCCCAGTGTCTGTAGTCCTCTCTTCCTAATCGATTGGTATCTCCCTGACCTTCCACCAGACAACAGGAGACACGCAGGTACAAACCAGATGGAGAGCAGCTAGCAGCTCCTTACCGACCACTAAACACACAGATTATAAAGAGTCGAAATGAGCTTAATGTTTAATGCTCTTAATTATTCATTTTGAGCCGTCGGGACTTCGGATAAAGATGAAGACTTTACCTTCAGTGTGGGTACCAGCAGCCATAGACATATTCACAGCAGCAGCCTTCATTTAGACGGAACGTGACTTCCATCTAGTGGCGGGAAGAGGAACGGCTACACATTCACGTCACTGTCGTAAAAAACAACACCGGAGCAGCGCGTTGCCGCCTCGCTTGACGGCAGTTCGTGATTTAAAAACTCGACATGGCTTCCTCATTGATTTGCAGCGAAACTCAGAGCAGGTAGACAACAACTGTAAATAAATGTAATGTGTGTCTGTTGTGTTTGAACGCCTGTCTCTCATTAGTCCAATATGAAACACGCTGTGCTTTGTGTTCAGTGCTAGTAGACGTGTAAACTAACGACTGGGTGTTGTCGCTCCTGTTTCAGGGTGAGTTCAGTGCTGAACAGAGACGTGAAGCAGTATGGAAAGAAGTACATGTTTGACTGCAACGAAGAGACATGCTGGAACTCAGACCAGGTACAACTACAGCTGTGTCCCAGTTCCACAATACTGTATACTGTATACTGTACAGTAGTGTGCTGTTCTTGCAGTTAATATACAGGAAATCAACATGCTAAATAGTTTTATACTAGACAATGATGATACACTAAGTGCAAAATGTTTACTACAAAAATGCTACTAACTAACTAACGTTTTTGCAGTTGTGAGCATCTCCTTTTTTGTGCATTGCATTGTGGGAGATTGGCATACATCAACAGCACACTCAAAATGAAGCCTTTTTTTAGTATGTATACTTACTGAGGAGCTTTTATTTTGTAAATGTGCCACTGTGAACACACTAGATTCTCAAAACGTACTTACAGTCTCTATGTAGTATGGAATATAGATAACCACATACTGGGTGTCACAATGAATCATCATCAATGTCTTTGACAGGGTGAATGTCAGTGGGTGTCTCTGGAGTTCCCTGAGTCTGTCAAGGTTTCAGAGTTAAAGGTCCAGTTCCAAGGAGGCTTCTCAGCAAAAACATGTAGACTAGAAGGTAAAACCCAGAGAAGTTCTTTTTCCAACCGTAAGCTTCATTGCAAATGGTTTCCTGATGTGATTATCCGCCGCCTTTTCGTTTCCCATTGCAGACGTTAGGTGTCATGAGATAAATGGTTTTCCACTTGTGCTTTCTGCAGGTTGCCCAAAAGAGGGAGACCTGACAGTCATCAGCCATTTTTATCCAGAAGACAACAACTCTCTCCAGATATCCTTCAGTGTTACTGTGCAGCATTTGATAGATTTAATTGATAGCAGGTTAAATTCTGCTGCATAAATGCCGTAATCCCTGTAACAGATTTTTAAAATCCAATGCCAAATGGGGTAAGCAAAATCTTAAAATAATAATAAAGCTTATATACATGTCTTGACTTACCCGTAACTGCCACTGTAGCTATAAATGTTGCACTTGACCCTTGATTTAACTGCATTAATCCTAGTTTGCAACCAAAGTTGATGTGCCATAAATAATCTTTAGACTGACAGGCTACTTTATCAGACGTATTTATTTTCCACCACCATTTTTTCAAACAGATGGTTAACAGAATACTTAATTTTATCCTGCTTTAACACATTATAAATTCAGTCCGTCAGACTGGGTTTTACAGCAGCCGAAGCTCTACCTGTCACTCTAGGAACGCTGTGTTTCCTGTTACTGCTCTAGATGGTTCATAATAAGTATCAGACAATATTTTCCTGAACATGCTTTTCATTTTTACCATGCTTATCTTGTTCTTAACTCCACACCCACAGCTTTCCCATACAGGAGGCCCCTACAGTGGACAAAGTAAAAATAATGTTTGAGAATAGTGCTGACTTTTTTGGGAGAATTATTGTTTATTCCTTGGATGTCCTGGGGGAAAAGGCTTCCTGACCATTTTTTTAAAATCCTCTCATGAGAGAGGAAATGGCCCCTGAGTAAAGTGCGGGATGCAGGATGGTGTGGTGGCACTTGGGAAACATGTCATCTGTTCTGCCACCTCATGAACTGATGTGAATGTGGCCTTTTTTGGTATGAAAGCTTTCAGGGATGTGTCTAGCTATCTCACCCTTGATTACTCAAACACAGAAGGCTTGGCATGGAGTCTGAATCTGAGTTTTAAATGCAGATTGTTGTGATCATATATCATTTTGTTATCACGCTCTCTATACTTATATTGTGCCTTTTACGTTGAAGCATCATTCCAGTGGAACACACAGTATAAAAATACATTTTTATTAAAACTTGTTTACAGACCTTTTTCTGCTGCTCTTCAGCCAAACAAAATAATTCTGCTGCACAACCATCACATTTGAGTCCTTGTTTGTACAGTGTTTGTACATTGTAATGCATACAAATGGAATAAACTGTTCAAAAAATAAAAATGCAGTTTAGTGTAAATGTCTCTGCATATGTACTGATCTATTACAATGACTTGATCTTGTGACGGAGGTCGTCATCTCACCACTGATGATAGCTGGTCTTAGATCTGAGATCAACAGTGTCAGACTGTCCTTTCCATTTATTAATTTTAATGAATGTCATGTTGGTGGCTTGTAGAGTTTCAGTATATGGTCCTCCAACACTTTCTGAACTAGGAAACAAATGAGAGGAAAATGTTAATTCAGCAAAACCTTTTCTTTTTTTTTTTTTACAGTAACCTCTAAAAATAAATTGTCAGGTATAAGAAGACTACGTACTCTTTTTGTGTCCAAGGGCAACAGCTAAGGCCATGGGACTGTACCCAGAGTCCGACTCAATGGTCATGTCTGCCCCTTTGGCTGCAAGAGAGTACAGTGAGTGCCATTAATAAAGCATTCAAACTGAATTTGACAGAATACTTCACATCATAGACATGCAATGTACCTAAGAGTGCCTCTACACATTTGATGTGGTTCCCTCGTACAGCGTACAGAAGAGGAGTCCCACCATTCTGAGATAAAAACACAAGTCTTCATTAAAAAGAAAAATCACATTGTGGTTATATTTCAATGTTTTTGTCCATTTGAATTATTTGTGTTGGCTTCCCGTAACTAAATCTTATGGATTTGTAATGACGTGTCTGACATAAAGAAGGACATTATGTACCCAATCATAAGTGTTAATGTCCACTCCATGTCTGAGAAGAGACTCAACAATGTCCACGTAACCTCCAGAGCTGGCCAGTGTCAGGGCACTCTCTCGCTCCCTCGCAATTGTTTTGGGGTCCGCACCCTAAAAAGAAAATCCCATAAAACATCACCAAGATGATGCATTTCGTCATATCAACATGTGCATGTCTCTCCGGGCAGCAGTAACTTATTTCTTACCTTCTCCAAGAGAAAATCCACCACTGCTTTCTCTCCAAACGCTGCTGCCCACATGAGCGGCGTAAAGCCCCGTTCATCCTGTTTGCTGAGCAGTGAACTGTCTGCAATATACAACAGGTCACAGACCATCTGTAAGAATATTGTACAACTTCATGCTGGAGAAAATGTACATTGTGTTCTACTTTCTGGTGTCTGACGGTGACATCCAGATTCCTCACCTTTACTCAGGTGTGCAGCCACTTGTGAAACCTCACCTTGAGCTGCCAACTGGTGTATGGACAGAGCTGATGGAAATAAAGTCTTAATATCCTCTCATGCTCAAGACAATGAAAATACCATGCTTGCTTGTCTAACACAGGGTCACTAGCTCTTTGCCAGTACTTACAGTCTAATGTTGCCGGGCGTACTGTAACCTCATTCCCACGCTGCTTGTTGGTCAGAGTGGTGGAGTGTTTGAACAAACCCTCTTCATCCACATCCATGTTCTCTGGAGACACTGACCCATCCAGATGAACCACAGCCATGTCAGTGGAAGCAAGATATACATCTGTTTAATTGATTATTGTGAGGCTACAAACATCGGGTGACTGCACGTGTTATACAGAAAGATGAATTATGTCAAGAAAGATCACAGGTAGAAGATGAAACCTTAAAAAAAAGCCACAGTTACCATTGGACCGCTCGTCTCTGGACTCGGACGGACAAACATTAGCGGTTTGTCCATCTGCAACCTCTTCATCACCTCCGGCCTCCATGATCGCTGCAATAAAAACAAGACATTAACTACTGAATAACGCGGTGCGGGCATTCAGAAAAAGTAGGCAAAATTAGTTTATAAAGCCAGTGACATTGTCCACTCACCACATCCAGCCTCACAGTCAAATTTGCGCTAACTTCCTTTTGGGAAAACTGAAAGTAAATAATTTCAAATCACACGGCGGACCTCGCTGGTGCCGAGATACATTACTCACCGCTCAGTTGATTAGCTTTTCAATTAGTCAATTATTTTGACGAGAGAAATGAAAACACGTTTGGCACAACCGAACGCATCACGACAATTGGTACTCTTTGAAGGAAGAACTGTTTTTTTTTTTAATAATCGCTATTTCTGTCCGGAATATTGTCGTGTGGCACATGACAACAATAATACGGAAGGAGCAAGAATCAGCTGACACCAACTCGCGTACAGCGGCACTGTGTTATCGGTTTAAGCACCTTTCATCATGGAGGACCAGGAGATGCAGCTGAAAGTCAGAAGAGGTAAACACTAGCAAAAACAAAAAAGCACACAACTCACCTCATTGTTACTTTGGCGACGGAGCTAGGAGCTGTTAGCTCACGGTAGCCGCTAAGCTAATGCTATGCTAGTACTGTGTTTACATCGCTACTTGTGCTTTTTGGATGTTTCCCACCGTTTCTTTTTAAGTTTCTAACACGGGTCGTGTGTTCTGTGCATTTGTCTGTGCTTCTTTGATCCTACAGTGACTGATAAGTTCACGGAGAGCATGTACGTCCTGGCTAACGAGCCGTCGGTGGCTCTGTACAGACTGCAGGAGCACGTCAGGAGGTCGCTGCCTGAACTGGTGCAGCACAAGGTGATTCACCCTGCTGTGTCATGTTGTTGGACATGAGGGACATGTAAAAGGAATTGGACATTAAAGGGAAAATGTACCCCGAAAACAGTTTATAGAGTGCTATTAGGATAACCTTAGACAGGAACATTTGTATTTGGGAACATACAGCTGACCCTCATCTGTCAACTGTTAGGCGATGTGAGATGACACTTTGTAATAGGTTTGTGTGTTCACAGCTCGGAATAAGAAAATGCCTTCATATCTGAGTGAAGATCACAGTAGTTGTTGTTATTTCAGAGCATTTCACTCATGCCACGAAATAATGGGTGCTTCATATGTGCACAGGGTAAACAACAAATGGGCCTCTGCTCCTTATTTTATCGTTAAATGGCACCATCAGTGTGTCCCTGCTGTTAAATTAAATGCAGTTATTTAAATAAGTTAGTCAAAAAATGTATTTTCCCTAATTGGGTTTGGTTGCTGTTTCTGACTGATTTTTTTAAAGCCATAAAGGTTTGTTGTTGAACTCATCATCCACTTTTAAATCAGGAGGCATAGCATGTAGTGTGTTTGTGTGTTGCTGGTGGTAAAAAACACCACTTGATGTAAACTGTGTACTATAATTAAACAGACGGCGCCTCTACTGGTATAATGTTGGTTGTATTTTCTGTCATTTCTCACACAGACAGACATGCAGAGCTGGGAGGAGCAGAGTCAAGGAGCCATCTACAGTGTAGAGTATGCATGCAGGTGAGAAGAAGCATAGGCCTACATATTTGCAGAATTCCCACTGCCCCGCTGTCATGACTCTTAATGGCTCTAATAACTCTTTTTGCAGTGCCGTGAAGAGCATGACGAACAGTAGCGTGTATTTCAAAAACATTGACAGCCTCCTCCGTCAAGCCATCAGCATGAAGGAGCAGATTAGCAACTCTCAAGGACGCAGGTAGGAGGCAGCAGTGAGATTGTAATGATAATACACAAACGTATCTATATCATGTCATCATGTATTAATTAATTGGGTTTGTTATTCTTAATCTTGGTGTTAATGGTATCCATTCATCAGATAGTATCATCGCTGGGTTTGTGGTCCTTGCCCAATTCCTGTGCTAAGTTGGAACTAATGTCTACTCAAAAAGCAACAACATGTGCAAAGTTAGATGCTCAACAACCAACCATTTGTCGACCGCTAAAGTTATCTCCTGGTGGCTGTAACACAACTCTTCCATATGCAACACATGCTCATAGCTGCTTCAAAGAACTGTTCATTAGTAACTGTCACTTGAACTGAACTACATTTTTTTAAATTTGGAAACCTTTATGCAAATGCACTGCCTGTGGGTATAAGATATTTGAAAGGTAAATTATGTATGACATCCACTATAAGACACATCTCTACAAAACTCGTCAGGCGAAGAGGTTTATGGGTGTTTCTTCCAAAATAGCTGTGTCTGTACCCAGGACTGTTTTCTCATTGTTTAATCATCTGGAAGAGTCATCATTGGAGGTTGATTTCATAAACACTTATATTTCCAAACCAAAAGTATTCATGTAATCTTTGTCAATATTTGAAAAAGACGAAAAAGACAGAGAATTATAGGCTATTACTTCTTTTGGCCAAATCTTGTGTCGAAGATCAACTTGTGATTTCTTCTAATTTCACATTTTCCTAAATCTCTTTTATATAATTCACAAAGTCTAAAAATGAGAACAATTAGTGACTCAGTGTCTGGAGTTTTATCCTGTTTGTGTTCATTCTTTGCTCCACATCATACCTTTATTTGTGTACCATCTTTGTTTCTATTTGTTTTATATAATCCCTCATTTATAATAATTTGTATCAGTTCATACTTTTACCTTCAGTTTCTGCCAATTTATTCCCATAACTGCAAAATACTGAACTTTTTGTAGCTAATGGGAGCTTCATGTTTTCTGTTTTATTTTTCTGTTCTGTTTTTTGTTTCCCACTGACACCTGCATGAAGCTTAAGTGATGTGACCCCCTCTCCCAGTCCCCTTGTCCCTGCTCCACATGCCCCGTCCACTTCCTCATGACCTCTGGACAGAGGTGTCCAAGGTTAGTAGTTCCTCCAGACATAACGTAATCACATTCAGGCCTATGTTTTGACATAAAATTAACAAAACTCTTTCAGAAATTATTGAATTGTGCATTTAAATTACATTGAAAGTGTTTGAACATTATTTTAATGTCTTATTTATGTGTCAAAAAACATCCTACTTTTAAACTGAATTATATTTCCACAAATTAATTCATTAAAAGTTGAACTACGAACCCATAACCTATAACAAAACACATTTGAACATTTTGCACACATATTTGGCAAAAAGCCACCCTTTACAGCAGAATGAAGTATTTACATTATAACAATGAAAGCTATAAATTTGCCATGTTGATCCTTGGGCAACATTGGGTTGTGTAATGAGATTCAAATTCATTTATACAAAACACTTACAATTATACAAAACTTGTGCTCAACATGTTCAAATCAAATCAAAAATGCTCTATAATCTGAACAGGAGAAATCAGTTGATGAAGGTGAAACTTGGGTGTGTTTTTCAATCTCTGTCCCATGTTGTCTACAGTCAGTCAGGATAAACATGCTGAGTGAAAAAGGTACAAATTGACAGTTGTACATCTGTTTGAGATGACAACTGTGTTAGCGGTCAGCTAATCGGTGCCTTTAACCCCGAGCTGTGCCTGCTTTGTGTCACACAAGAGTAGAGTCTTTTGCGGAAATCCCTGACTTGCGAGCAAGGACACTCCTCATCTCATTGTTAACCCCATTCCAGGGTTTAGCCTGAGCCTGCAGTAGGCCAGATTCAGTAGACAGGGTCCTGTGCATTCTGGGACAACTGCCACCACTGCTGTAGCCGTCTTTATCACTTGCGTTGCCCTGGGAACCTCCAGCCGGGGAGTACTGCTGTTGCTGGTACTGTTCTCGCTGTCTCGGGTTGCTATAGTGAGGGTAGGAGATCGGATGCTGGATGTGAGACTGGCTGCGGTGCATCCGCGGTTTGTCCACACCAACTTTGAGCTCGCAGGATCGGGAGACAGGCGTGCTGCTGCTCCCGTGGTCATTCTGGTAGAGGGTGTCGAGGTGGTCGTCGTAGCGCTTGGCACTACAGGAAGCTTTGACCAGAGAGTGGATCACAACAACCAGTAGGATTAAGATCCCTGAGGAGAGTATGCAGGCACTTGCGATGCCTGTCTCCACCTCAAATATCAGCAGCATGAAGATGGACATAGCTGCCAAGGAAGAGAAGGAAAATTTATATACACAGAAACACTAAATGACTAACTTTAATGGGCCAAATAAGTAAAAGTTGTTCTCTTTACTTGTATCTCAGTTTGCTGTTAGTTTAAATGTTTGCTTCATTTCTATGTTCTTATGACTTTATCCACATCACACTAATTGAATGCTTTACAAAAATGTACTTAATTTTGTTGACATATAAAAACTAGCAGTTTTTATCTAAGCTGTCCTATGTTTATCTCTAGAAAAAGGACTATGGACTCAGGAATGCTGAAGGAAGGGGGAGAAAAGCACAGCTCTGGGATGTGATGTGACTTCCTGAGCCGGTGGTGTTGCTGCTACAGTCGCTTGCTCTGCTACCTCTTGATTGAGTCTGAAGGGGGGTCATAAGGGCGACACCTCCTCATCACAATGGAGTGACTGCCTCCAGTGACCCCCACAGTACAAGCCGCTCAGTGGAACAGCGCACCACAGCACTGCCAGGTTCAGCATTAGAAACACTTAAGTCATGGACGCTGCTCAAAGAATGCATTGTTCTCTCGGACTCACTGGACGGACCAGAGAGAAAGCAGTCGTGCTGCTTTTGCCTCTGCCGTTGAAAATCCACTGCACCGCCAATGTTTTGGACACACTTTCAGGTCTTTGTGAGTTTCTTGTTAAAGGCTAAAGAAAAGAAAAAAAGTACCCTGCATGCAAATTATAAAAACTCAACACACATACTCAAGGAAAAGATACAAACGTGTGCTAGAAGGCAATAACAGGTGCCTCTAACCTGTATTTAAGGATTTAATATCTGTACACTGCCAGATTAGCCACGTTCTTGAAGAGAAAATCCAGATTCTTACAAAATAAGAAAATCTTATTTTTTATTCTTTTGTTCTTACCTGCCAAATAGACAGAAACCCCGAGGCAGAACAGTCCAATAGCCACATGTCGTACAGCTCTGCTATCCAAAAGGAACCAGTCTGCTCTGTGGACACAAATGTCATATGTTCAATGTTGTTGCTCAGACGTTGATGTTTACACTTTAAAACTGCTACTGTACTTTTCTCTTCAGTGCATAAATGAAGATGATTTTATGCAACACAATTTCTGTGTTGACAATTTTTTTTGTTTCAACTCATTGCACATTTCTTTTACTATGCAATCAGACTTTTCTTGGTCCTTTTTATTTATTTCTCCCCTGGTAAGTTTTCACATCAGAACTTAAAGTCCTAAAACATTTGATTGTTGATTATTTGGTTAAATGCTAGATATTTTGTGATGCTCATTATTATTCACATTTTCTTGGAATGTCCCCTCTGTCAGTAGGGAGGTCCTGGGGTATGCTGTTGGATTTGTATACTGATGTGGGAAAGGGCCAGCAAGAGGCTGTGTGCTGGGTGCATAATGAGAGGAAGGCTATTGTTTAGATGGGATTCATAGAGGTTGAGAGGTGGGGGTTGACCAACAACACTGCAGTGCAGGCCTGTGCACTCTGACACACAAGGAAGACCCATTTATGCGTCTGAAACTATGTTTTCTTTTCATGAAACTTAAAACAGTCAACCCAGATCCCCGGTGGTTAACAGAGAACAATTAAAGAAGACTGTGGTCATGGGCAGACACACTCAACTTATTAAATGTTAATTTCCACTTATAGCAACAGTTTTTAACAGTGACTGCATTACCAGAAAATAGGAACTTAAGTAGGATGTAATGCAGTGCAGTGCTGTAGCCTTAAACTTTGTTTTGGTGTTGTTTTTCTCTGCCTTATATTGAAAGTTGCAACATATTATTTTGCTTTTCTTATTTGCTAAGCGGAAAAACCACAAACTACAGCCTCAAAAATTTTAATAAAGTTAAATTAACATCTTTATAGCATCGCCCTTTTTTATTACAATCCTTATTACAGAGTTGTAGTATTGTTGCATTAGGTAGCACAGTAGTTTCTATATTCCAGGCCATATTTCACTTGAACCAGTTAAGTGAAATTATGTAACTTTTGCTTAACAGTAGCCACTTTTGCCACAATTACAGAGTAATAGTACATGCTAAAATGTAGTTTAACAGTAGCAAGTAAACTGAGTCATGGCCGTTTTACAACAATATCTATCTGTCTGCTAACATTAGCCACCTAAGCTACTGGTCACACCAGCCTGAGTAAGGCTACAGCAGGAAAACTGCTGAGCAAAGCTGGGTTTTATTACTAATAAATTCAACTTTTTATTAGTTAATTAAGATTGTTTTATTTAGGTTTATCTAAAACCTAGCTACTCTCGCTGTAAAAAAGTTGCGTTCCCGCATAAGAGGTGCGTATTAACATTGTAATTAACTGTAACGCATCACAGGTGTGCTTGAGCCTTCAAACGTGACCCAGCCTATCAAAACCGACCGGAACTATCTGTTTGTGACCAATTTGGATCAACAGCAGCATAATACCAGTGAGTGAAGCGGCTGACAGCCCTGTCGCAGTTCCAGGTGTGTGTGTGTGTGTGTGTGTGTGTTTTTTTTAAAGCAGGTGGAAGAAGTAGAGGTGCGTTACATGCAGGCTAAATACCTCTCAGTATCCTGGTCTCCTCTGCAAACCTCTGTTGAAAAGTAGCTGTGGAGAAGACACACTACCACAGAGCTCAGATGGAGGGTGAGGGACAGAGCCGAGAGCACCGTGGAGACCGGCAGCAGCACGGCCCAGATATGAGCGGGTATAACCGAGGAGGTGGAAGGGGGAGACTCCTTCACCGCCGTCTGTTGAGACTGAAGCTGGAAAATCAAAATGACCGATAAAACAGACATGATGGCCGATAAAATGCCTAGTAGAGACAGCACTAGTAGAGACCGCTGGCTGTACTTGAACGTCATCTTTCTCCTAAATCCCCGGCGGTCAGGTTTCTCCCGAGAATAAACACTTAACCCCCTTTTTTTGGCCGATCGGACTTTTTTTTTTTTTGTCAAACACACTTCTCCGGCGATCCTAAACTCCCAAAAAGTGCGCTGGCATTGCAGTGTTGATGAAATGTTTCGGTCCTTTCGGGATGAACAGTTTCTCCCCCAACATGGATTTTTTTTTGCGGTAGTTTGCCTGTTGTGGTGGAGCGCCCCGCTGCCCAGTCTGAGCATGTGATGTGCTTTAAATCCCCCAGATTAAAAACTTCGCAACAACAATGGACTTTTTCTCTTGGATCCTCGGAAACAATGAGTTGACGTGCTCCTGGGAGAGGCAGAGCTCACTGACTAAACACAAAACACCATGACCGAACAAAGGACATTAAAACAGTCCATTCACACCACTCAAGTTAATACAACTTGGAGCTACCTAATTAAATTAAATAAAGTGTGAATTGCACCCAAAAAAATACATTGAAAGCATCCTTTTTAGGGGAAAAACAGACCTGAAATAACTCAAATATTTCCTTCTGGCAATAATAGATTAGCCTACTTCTTATGCTGTGATGTAGTCTCCTATCCTCATGAAGTGATTAAAGGATTACAGTTCAACAGGCTATTGATATTCTACTATCTAACAATAAAAGACATGAGCAGAAAATGGCACGCACATCATAGAATGAAGTAAAATAAAATGTGACTCCAACATCCGAAAAAGTCCTAAAGTGCTTCTGTGCAAAGTGAGACCATGGCAGGTGTACATTACAGCTAACTTTTGAGGAATTTGCAGCCGCGTCGGCCACCTCGGCTCACCCCTCTTCGTTGTAGAATACCCCTTTTATTCTTAGTCCAGCTCCTCAGACTCTCTGAATCTAATTAACTTTTCACTTGTTGCCGTGGAAACATGCACAGTTTACCAGAGATGCACCTTTTCTCTTCTTTTTTCATTGCATCCCCTTCTTCTATACCTGAGGTTTTATGTGCACACTGCAACCATGTAATAAAATAAGTTGCATGTCCAATATCTGCCTGATTTAGTAGAATTGGTACTCAATGTTCTTTTCACGTATACCACTGCTGGACAGCAAACACCTTGACATACTTAAATTCTGTGTCACAGAGGCCTTATTGTTCTGTTAGAGGTTGGGGTTTGGTGTGTGTGGGGGGGGTAAAGGTGTAACCCTTATTCTGTTGAGATGTAGATAAGACTGTAGCTATAAAGGTACACAATGTGAACAATTGCTCTCACACATGTATACTGACCAGGGAGGCTATTTCTGAATCCGACAGCCTCACCACATGCTCTAAAAGGGTCGAGGCTGATCTTGTCGAAAGCAGAAGTGAGAAGTTTCAGGAAAATGAAAAAAAAAATGGACTTGATACGGAAAGTTCTCAAAGGCGCCTTTATCTCTCTCTCTACTTTCTGCTTAATGGCTCTTGCCTTATGTGTTTATCAGTAATATTTAATAACTGTGGTTGCAATTCAACCTTCAGTCTCCAGCTTGACGGCTCGCAGTGTCCAGAATAAATGTATGAAGAAAACAGTCACGTAAACAGCACAGTGAGAAAATATGTAATTTCCCCTTAGCTGCTGGTGATTAGCTTGCTGTATTTACAGATAGGGGTTTGCACTATCCTCTGTCGGATTCACGGGGCCCACACAGGTGAATCCTGGAGGTAAAGGCTGTGGCAGTCTGCAGGGATGTTGCTAGCTATTGCATCAGATGCACAGCGTGAGCTATCTCTTGGGGATCTCAATCTGCGTGTGTTTGTGCATGCATAGCTCTGCGTGTGTATGTCTGTGTGCGGACATGTTTGTCAGGGTGCATGTAAGAGAGAAACAGAGTTGTTGTCCACACTTCCACAGATGATCTGTGCTAATAAATTGTCACTATATTATTTTTAGGAGTACATTGTGTCACATCCCAAAAATAGTCAATAATTCAGCTCATGCAGTGATTCAGTTATTACCTCTAAATATATCTATTGAGCTGACAGCATGTCTGTTTTCCATTAGTGTCTTAGCTTTGCTTTTCTGAGCATTTTATTTATCTTTTATTCCCCTTTACCTCTGTCATTGCTTTCTCTTTAATTAGCGTTACATAGGGATAGCTAATAAAAATACATGATAAAGCTAAAGTAGACTGCACATAGACAGAAAGACTGTGTATGATGTTTTAATCCTGGTTAATTTGTGTGGTTTTTTAATTCTTATTTGCACAGTGCGTGAACACAATAACAGCAACCACTGTACAATATAATACAATCTAATACAAATGTTTCTTGAGGCTGTCATAGAGTTGTTGATGGATACATTATAGCTTGTTGTTAGGTGTTTCTGTAATTTTGTCCAACCCATAGGCCTGCATTTACAGAGGTAGATAAAATTACAATTATAGTTTCAGTTCACAGCCTCAGTTAGGGTTCAGTTCAATACCCAAATAAAACTGGAATGCTTTTTCAACGATCTAATCATAGCAACAGCAGAGCATAGCCATGATGTATGGGAGAGGCAACTCTCACTAAATACTGATGATACTCAGACACTACACATATATGACACCTAATTAACCTGTAGGGACTCAGTAAATTGCCAAAGGACACTTCAGCAGACAGCCTATATAATATATATATAATATACTTAAACCTTCCTACTTTGGTTGAAAGATGGTCTATTCTACCAAAGGGCCACCCTGACATGCATAGTTCTTTTAATAAATAACACTGTTTTATTTTTTATTTTTTTTTATTTTTTTAATAACAATACAACAATAAATTATTGATCCAGTGATCCATTATTGAAATGCACACAATGTGCACCAAGATTAAAATTACCTTTCTTTTCAGAACATGGTTGATCATTTGAAAAATGACATGCAAAAATTTGTTTTGTAACCATGCTGCAATTAACAGCTTTAAAATTCCACTAAAAGGTGTAATTCCTCTAATTTCACACATGCTGAGAACATACAGAGTGCAGCTTATAGAACCCTGAATAGTGTTTATACATAGTTTAATATTGCATAGTTTTACTTTGAAAAAGTAAAGTAGACATTACTTTGTATCAGTGGGTCATAAACAAAAAAAGGTTAGGAGTCACTGTAAATTCCTTCAGGCCTTTTTTCTGTGGCTACCCAAGTTCATATACATTAAGCATATTAGCCAGTGATCATACCGCATGGCTTTATTGTCTCATCTAAATCTAAACACTGCACAGTCTCATTTTATCGATTAGACACCATGTTTGAGACAGACATTTAAATTCCCCTCGAATTAAATAAGGACAAACTGACTCATCACAACAAGTGGTTACAACCCCAGAGAGAGTGTATCACAAGAGTATTTTAGTCTCACCACAATCTTTAGTCGTTATGTATTGATTTTATTTAAGAAATGTCAAAACGTTATTAGGAAATCAGCAATGATGCCAGTGTGACAAATGTTGGTTTCCTCAGAGGGTCCATTGAAATGAATAATGGTCCAATCTTATTTTGTCATATTTTCTTTGCTTGTTCATACTTTTTATGTAATATCATATAACTGTGATGCTTTGGATGTTGTTTTGCAGACTTGTCCACACCTTATATCTTCAGTTTTTTTTAAAAAACAAAAAATATGCAAATTGTACATCACAAGACTCCACTTTCCACTTCCCACTGTCACCTCCCCACCCCTCCTGTGATGAAATTCTACATAAAATCAAAATTACTCTGAAGTAACAGCTGCTTTGGGACACAATCTCATCAAAAAAGCTTTTGCTGTCTGCTCTGTAACGCGGATCTTTCCTCCAGCAGCCCCTTGACATGAGTGTATGCAGTGTAACTTGTGCTGTGATCTCGCTGACAGCCCTGAGTGACTGCTGGTGCGTTTGAAAGGCGGGTGGGAGGTGGGGGGGAGTGTGTCCAATGGCACGGCCGAGGAGGCGGTGTATGGTGACAGAGAGAGGCGGGTTGCAGCAGCCAGCTGTTGGAAAGCAGCGCTCCTGAACCATCCGCTACTACTGCACCAGGTGAATATCTTCAACATCACCAACCCGAGACAAGACTTCTGCTCTCTGACACACATCTGTGCGTGCGTGCGTGTGTTTATGCGCGTGTGTGTGTGAGTGTGTTTTCTCTTTAATCCGCGACTTTTACTGTTTGATTGGTCTCGATCAAGTGGGTGAAACTCGGAGGCAAACAGAAGAGAAGACCGAGAGCAGGTGAGATCAGATGTTGTGTTTTCTGTGTTTTGAAGCGTTGAGTTTTTAGTTGTTTTTTTTTAGTGTCTCTGTTGTTTCCTGTGTGTGAACATTTTGTGACACAGTGAGTGAAATACCTGTTGCTGTGTTATTGACAGCAGCCTATAGATGAGGCTATATTAGACAGGGATGCTTGGCAACTCGGGGACAGACGGGCTATTCTTAAACGGTCTATTTTGAATGACGTCAGCAATTTATTAGGTCTAATTATCCGCAAACATTTTTTTCAAGCTATGTATTTTTACAGTTTTTATATTTAGCTTGCTGTGCAAATGAATCCGCGTCCATTGGGTACAGACACATCCCATGACTGTTTGAACCCATTCACTACAGGCTGGGTTCATCTTCCTCTCCCCCTTCACAACCTGTTGCCCTTTTCAATCCTTTTGTCTTCTCGGTCTCATTCAAAATATGCATTGGTAACTCTCATGTTTTAGGGAGTGTGAGATCATTAGCTTATTTAATTTCTTATATTTTTATTCCGAAGAGCAGTCAGTTGTCATTAAGGTGTGTCTCATCTTCACACACAAACAGCTTAAATAGAGTCCTGCAAAGTTTTTTTTTACTCTGTTCATGGAAAGATCAAATGTTCAGCTTGTGCCTTCGTGTACTATTGCTATTCTGGCTCTATCAAAAATATCAAGGCAATTCAATTATCTCCTGTTAAAATTAGACAAATATTTCCTCACCATTACTCTGCGAAGGCCCAGTGAGTGAACTGTCTGACCCTGAAGGTGACACACAGAGAGCACACGTTTGTTTATTGTGGTATACTAATGCTTTAATATATAGAAAGAAAATGCCATTCACTAGCTTTGAACACAAACCTCAGTAAGAGATGAAGAGTTGCCCTCTGGGTTTTCTCTCCTTCAAACGCCTTTCAGTTTTGATTTGAACTAGTAAGACAGGGCCATTGCCATTTCAAAGATACATTTTTTTTGCCCATCACCCTTTTTAACTTTTGGTTTGGGAGGATTTATGTTTTGGTTCATGCAAAGTTTGGTAGCAGTCTTCTATTTTTGGAGACAGTTTGGGGCCTGGTTTCACATTTTACCATCTCAACACGGGTCTTTGATGTGACTAACACGGGAGAGACTAAAATGACTGAAAGAGCGAAAACAAGGCTGTGCACCACCTCAGTTAGGTGTCATCCACAGCACTGCAGTATATCAGTGTAATACAGAAGTCATACAGCTTCTCTATTTGTCTTCTTGCATACTATAATTGACAAACACAACTGAGCTTTAATACAATAGTGCAGAAACATTCTTAGATAGCATTAACTAAAAGGATTATTGTTGCAGTATTTTACATTTGTTATCACTTATGGAAACTGAAACACTAATTTTAGCCTTTCATTAATCTGGCTGTTATATTTAGCCACATTTAACAACCAATACTGCCAATGGACCTGTGTGACGGTGAAAATATGATTAGGTGTTGTAGGAATCTTTTTTGCTACCTCACAGTGAGCCATCTTTAGCTAATATTCTTACACGTGTTTACCATGTTTTTGAAACATTATCAACCCACCGTGCTCTGAATGACTCATGGAAAGAAAACCATCGAAGCAGAACCCTCAATACTCTAGAAATGCCCTACTTATTTTCCCCTTCTCATTCATGCATACAGTTCACTGCGGCAAGAAAAACATCCAGTGTGCAATACATTGAGTTTCATCACAACTGATCAAAGCTGTTAAAATCATCTTGTCTGTTGACGCACAGGCTTTTGGATTTCTGTGCATTGTTGTCCCAGTGAGGTCCCCAGTGATCAGTCAGAAGCTCCCAGGGTATGTCAGAGAGCAGGGCTACCGTGTGCCTGCTGTGCATCTCTGCTCAGTTTTTTCCACTGTCTCGCCTCTGGGAAAGCGTCTGGAAAGGTGCTCTCCTTCCCTATAGAACCCTAGCAGCCAGGGGCAAGTGTGTGAGTGTGCAACTCTGGCACTATTACAGGGCACACAGCGATTTCGTTTTACATTTTGCGACTATAGTTCAGCATGAGGAGGTGAGAAAAATAAAAGGCCTGCTATTTCATTTAATTCCCATCTTTTTTCAGTGATGAGAGTTAACCTTAGAGATGAAAGGTCACAGACTTTAAGGTGTGTGTGATACTTTTACTAATTCTGGTACATTCACAGACCTCAAACGGCAGTTGTCGTACGGGAAAACATCCAGAATTAGCTGATGTGAGAGGCACAGCCAGGCTTTTCCTGCCTGTCTTGGCCTTTAGGCCCTCAGCAGACCTAATAAACCACATACAGTTCTATACCAAAGTCCACGCCGTTTGGCTGGAGGTATAGCTATATTTACCCAGCTAGTCATGTGTTTAACAGTGGCTGTCTGTGGCGGTGATAGTCGTCGTTTGGTTATATCTGAGAGGAGAGGAACTTTCTGTAAAACACTTAGATAAAGATCTTTCTGCCCTGTTTAGAGCATATGTCCCACTTCCCTCTCTTCTCACCATTAACATGTCTTGATATGAAGTTAAATTGTCTCACTTCGGGTCCCAAAAAACAGAACAGCTTGACCCAAGTTCCATTCTTTGTGGTTGTTGTTACTTAGATGGACTAATACTGGTTTTTGTGGTCCTTTTCTTAAAAGCAAGAGCTATTTGTCCGCAGTATGCCCCGTTTTACTGTAGAGGCAATGGCAAAACAAGTTCATCTGCAGCTGTCAGGGTTGAGGTGTGTCTTGTCTCTGCAGTATATTCAGCACAGTGGATATCACAGGACTTTATAAGGTAATAAAAAGGGCAAAGAGGTGGATTCCTCCAGAAATGCCCCAGATGCCTGTGTGCCAAGCTTACATTGAGGGACAGCGGGCACTTTAGGGGTCGTGGGAACACAGGCGCCATATCCGCTCAGGCACCATCAGGAGGGACAGGGAACTAAATATAGAGTTGTCCAATACATGTCCAGTATTAAGGGGAAAAACCAGTGAAAACTCCTCTGGGCTTTGGAGAAGCACTATATGGTCAGGTCAGTGGAGTCAGACCACCACTTTATGGAGTCGTTTGACTGATAGTGGAGTGTAAAATGGAGATAACTCACACAGCAAATTTATGTATGCGTTTGAATTATGCCGCGATTCAACCGCAGGAACTTTCCCCAGGGACTAGGAACCTTTGGAGGAACTTGCGTTTCCACCACAGGGACCAGGGTTTCTGCAGACATCATTTATTATTTTACCCCCCAAAAAGTCCCTGCTTGGGGGGGTAGTGCTTTCCAAAAGCACAGGAACTTTGGGGGTGGGGCTTGCAACACTAAACATTTCTGATTGGTCGAGTACTTACAGACGTTTATTTCAGCCATTTTTAAAAATCTGCAGCAGCAAACCCGTTTGTTTTTTGTTCATTGTGCTTTTACACATCAGCCTGAGCCAAACTTCCACCCAAAGTGTCAAAAATTTTAGTCCCAGGAACTGTTACGTCAGCCCAATGTTGTCTGTTGTCTTTCATAAGACCTGTGAAGGTTAAGCAAATTAGTCAGCTGACCCAATTTTACACGTCATTTTTGCATGCAGATTGTGCATGGGCGTCGTCGGTCCTTCTGTTGTGTAAAATGAGCACAATGAGCAAATAAAAAAGAAGAAAGCATATGACAAATGGACTGATGTCCAGTCCTCATTGTTGTATAGTTACGTGCAAAAATGTTGTGTAAAAGCAGACATTGCTTTTTTATACATCAGGACAAGACCAATATGCCTCATCTTCGCAGGTCTTTAGACCACGGTGGAAATCGAGACAACAACGGGCTGAAAGAACCTTTTAGTTCCTTTAAAAAGTAGTTCCTGGGACTAACAATATACATTGTGTAGAAACGCGGCTATAGTGTTTTATGTTTTTTTTGCTGCATGGTTGTCTCCCATAATGCCAAGAGTGAAAATAATTCCCTGATTTCACATGTGCCCAGCTCTATACGGTCCTGCAGGGGCAGGGAAAGCACAGGGGTTTTTCTAGACCGAGGGAAACAGAAAAACATGGACATTCTCAAGCCAACCACAATCCATCCATGCCTTTGCCTTCTGCCCCTCAAAATCTTGCTTTTTTCTGACCTGGCTGTGCATGAGAGAGGAGTGGGTGGCTTTTAGCTTCACCCATCTTTCAAAAACACACTGTTTTCCTTCTACTGTTTAGTTTTAGCTATTGCCTGATGAACCTTTAAAAGGAGCCATCGACTGTATTTTTAACCCTGTCTCTTGGGGCTGTGCGGTGCAGTCGAGCACTGTGCTGCTGGCCCGGGGGTAACCCAGACTGTGGGGGTGTCAGACTGCGCGGACTGCAGGCCCGGCAAGGGCCGCTCTAACTTTAGACTGCATCGCCTCATGGTGGTAAAAATAAACACCCTGCCCTTACCAAGGGGGAAGGGACTTGAGTCACCTAAACCAAACGGGTGACATTTTCCCACCAGAATTACATGAATGTGGAAAGAAGTATTACTGAATATTTGTACTGTTGTTATTGTAAAATGTAGATGTACAAGAATAAACCACTATGGCTAATGTGTACAAATGTGACGTTGACCCTCAAGAAAATTTTTTCACAAAACCTTTATTTTCCTTAAACTAGAGAATGAAATAAATATATTTGTGTTTAATATTACATTTATTTCCTAAAGGTCTGTGCAGCATTATGAATGCATATAACATATTGTATTCTGCTAATATAACGTTATATTTTCTTTTACAGGTATAAAAGTGTCAGACAGCAGAAAAAATGGGAAGAAAGAAAATACAAATTTCTCGTATTCTGGACCAGAGGAATAGACAGGTGGGTCAATGTCCAGTATTTTATTTAGATGCATTAAGAATTCAATGTAGAGTGTACACAATGTACATTTGCCTCAGTGATATTTACGGTACATAGACATTCGTACCTCGTGTTTTGCGCAAAGAGAGTGCAGGACAATTGTCACACATTAAATAGTCATAGCAGAGAGTGTGACAGCAATGTGAAAGTTGTACTGATTTGGATATAAAAATATGTTTTGTGCATTATGTGGAGGTCGCTCCTGAGGCTAATGTGTGTAGGCATGATTTCTGAATGCTGCAAGACTGTGGAGGAAATAACACATTATGATATCTAGAAGAGACAGTAGTGGGGTCATAGTTAGATACGATGAACAACTGTTGTAAATTTAACAAAATTTCAAAGATGTGACATGTGATATTTGGTTCTGTACCGAAAGGACAGTAATGGCACTGAACAAGTGAACATTTTAAAGGAGCGGCAAGGAAGTAGGAAATGATGAGTTAAAAAAGAAAAAAGTATTTTTTTCACCTTGATGGATGATGAATGTGATGATGCAGATTATAAATACATTTCACGCTTGACGTCAACTTACAGTCAGAACAGTTACATACATTCTTTTGAGTACTGCGACGTGAGAAAAATCTTCACTTCACGCTCGTAACCTATTAATATGTTGATCACTATGTATGAAACAACGCATCAAATACACACAAGGAATCAGTGTGGACAAGAAGAAAAACGTATTAAACTGTGCTCTGACTGCTGGCAAATACAATTTGTTTCTCATATCTAATCTTTAGAACTGAGTGTTTTTTGGTGATAAGGTTTGTTTTTGTTTTGTTCCTTATCTGAATTGACGGTCTGAAGACAGACAGTGTTGTATGCTGTACAGATTGTAAAGCCTTCTGGGACAAACTTGTGATTTTTGGCTATATGAATACACAAAATACACTCTCAACACTGTTATTTGCAAGTGATCCTGTGTTACGCTTTTCCATTAAAAATTTATTATTTTTTAAACAGCAGTAATCCATAATCTGATAATAAAAAAAGTTTGTATATTAGGCTGATTATGTAGCAACTGATCCAAATTAGTCAAACTGCTTTTCTTCTGCTGCAATTTATTTCCATCATTTATTCCTGCAGAAATATTAAAGTTCATACCAAAACTTTTTAATTTAAAAATGTAACCTTTAAATTGACCTAGAAACGTAAGATATATATATATTTTTCTAAATCATCAGTAATTAGCTGAAGCTTAAGCGAAGATAAAACAAACCTCGTGTGTTTTTGTGCCGTAGGTGACTTTCACCAAGCGTAAGTTTGGTCTGATGAAGAAAGCCTATGAGCTGAGCGTGCTGTGTGACTGTGAGATCGCCCTCATCATCTTCAACAGCACCAACCGTCTGTTCCAGTACGCCAGCACAGACATGGACAAAGTGCTGCTCAAGTACACAGAATACAGCGAGCCACACGAGAGTCGCACCAACACGGACATACTGGAGGTACTGTCCAAGCTGCTATTAAAAGAAATGAGAGTAAAGCATGATTTGGTCAGTTATTTTAGAGCAGGAAGCATGAAGACCAATTTCAACTTTTCCAAAAAAATGTATCATTCTTGATTTTGTAAATCTTCATGCTATCATTGTGGGTAATTTTCCATGTGCACTTTCTGTTCTGTATAAGACTCTGCGTAGGAAGGGCCTCGGTATCGACGCGTCAGAGCTCGACAGTGAGGAGAGCATGCAGGTGGCTGCAGACAAATATCCTCTCAGTGAGGGCATGGATCTCTCTGTGGCTCGCCAGCGCTTCTATGTCAGTCCACACACTTCTGCTATTGCACATAACCACACACGCTCACACACACGCGACCTCTGACCTAATGTAAACTTATTATTGTAATAAAATGACAGCTCAAAATGTCCAGAAACACGATAACAATATTTGTTTCACAAAATTTACATTTTCATTGACTGTTTTTGGATTTTAATTCTTATGCTGTTATCACACATTACCCTTCAGGCTCCATCACTCCTTTCACCAGAGGCCCAGTTCCTGGTGTCTGCAGGCTGTGAGAACAGCTTCCCCAACTCATCCGGATCCAGCATGGTGCCTCACAGAGCTCCAAGCTTTAAATCTCTAAGTACCAGACCCGGGTCTGCCAGCCCTGCTGCACCACATGCACACACTGCATTCATGTCTCCACACTCAGGTGAGCAGTACTGGTCCTTCTGCATGAAACATTACCAGAATCATTTTAACCACAAAGTGATTTGCAGGACAATTTGTGACTATTTTCACAAAAGTATGTCAATTCAAGGTGACTATGTAGAATAATTGCAGCCTCAAATGGCATCAATATTTTTCAATGTACTTTTGTACAATGTGTCTCTTACTATGAGAAAATTATATCTGCCATTTAAATTGAAATTCTCCACTGACTAAAACTTTCAATTTACAAGTTGGCAACGTGTCACAAAATACTACCACAAATGTTTAAAATATTGAGCAGTGAACAGTAGTAGATGTGAAACATTTAGCATGACAATCAAATTAAACAGCCTTTAGGGTCTTGGTAAATGGCTGCTGCAAAATTCACATGTGTGCTGTCAACCTTCTGTGCAGCTGGCTGTGAACTCACAGGAAGTGTGCGTGTGTACGTGCGCGTGTGTGCGCATTAATCCACACATGCACTCCGCCTGTTTTGTGAAACTGGCCCTCCACCAGTGTAACAGCGACTGTAACCAGTTCTGTGGTTTCTGTACAGAATGTATCACACCTGCCAGTCATGTCAACCTCTTTTACAGTATTCAACTATTTGGTATGATGTCATTAACAGTAAATATTTTAAATGTGTTATTACTGTTTTTCTAATAGTTGGCACTGATCAGTTCAAAATGGATTCTTTCAGGTAAATCGATAAACGTTAGCTGCCCTCTGGCCCAATACGAACAGATACTACTTCAAAGGTCAAACTAAAAGAAGAAGTTAGTTTTTGTAGACATAAAAAGAGGGAGGTGAAGAATGTATCACAGAGAATACATTATTCCTCTGTGTGAGTGAAACAAGTTCACATCTCTTTTCACTTCCTGCTGCTTTTTTTCGCTAGGTATCGGCTACTCCGTGTTCTCCCATGGCAGCCTGAATCGAGCTCTGGACATGAAAAGCCCTCCTCCTCTGAACTTGGGTGGTGAGAACGTGCGGGGAGATACTGTTAATCAGGGCATGGGGGCCACACGTGCTAACCACAGCTCTGCTGTAAGTAGCTGTTACTATCCAGTGTGATCTACACTAAAACATGTTAGTGAATCTAACACATACTGTAGGTGTACTGATGTGCCAGTAGATCTTAATTGTCTAGCAAACATAGACAAGCAGTTTCACTGTCACTTTTATCTCTCACAGATACAATATTCATGATTTATGCACCATGCATGCAATGACGTAAATCTATCACTTCAAACTTGAGACTTTACTTATTTACAGCTATTTCTCTTTCCCTATTCATTAGAGGGGTGTCTTGTACCAGGGCCTGCACAGCAGCAGCTCCATGGTAGCCATGGGCAAGGCAGGGCTGCTGGGTCACAGTTTGGGTCACAGCTACGGCCTCCCCTCTCCTGGAGCCTCTGGTATGTCTGCTGTGTATCATCTATTCTATTGTAAATTAGGCTGAATAGAATTCAATAGGAGTGCTACATTAAATGTACAGAACAAGACAGATGAAAAGGTACTTTAAAGGAATAGTTCGACATCTTGGGATATTTGCTTTGTTTGCAAAAACGACAAGTTGTTGTTTTACCGGGGGTTTGGTGCAGGGCTGTCAACCTCACAGTGCTGTCAAGATTACAGAGAGTTACTCCAACAAATAGTCCTGCACATAACAGTTTAAACAGATCAAAATGTCAATTAGTGAGTTTTAGAGCCAGGCTAGCTGTTTCCCCCTTTTTCCAGTCTTTGTGCTATGCTAAGCTAACTGGCTGTTGGCTGTACTGTAGCTCCATGCTAACAGACGTGAGAGTGGTATCATCTAACACTTAGCAAGAAAGCATGTAAGTCTCAAAATGTCGAACTATCCTCTTATAGTGAAGATAATGTATCCTATCACTCATTGATTCTGTGTTTTTTAAATCCTGTCTTTGTGGCCTTTTTCAAGTTAGTATCTTTATTCATCCACATTTTCTTTGTTTCCAGAGTACAGCCAATCTGGATTTTATCACTCTGTTAGTCTACAACGAGGAGCAGTGAACCCCTGGCAGCCAGCACAGCCGCCTCAGGAGCCCCATGGGCCTCATATAAGCCCAGCGTAAGGATATTAATGCGTATTATGGCACTCCTGTGAGGACAAAATATGGAATCATGGCAGAAAGTTGAATCTGCTCATTGTTCTTTGTTTCAGCAATGTTTTTCTTATTCACTCTTGCTGTGCAGCATTTCAGTCGACCAGATATTTATCAGGTGCAAAACAGCACTAACAACTGTCACATCTATCTGATGTTTAAAAATATACAAAAGAAAGAAAAGAGAACTGAAAAAAAAAAAAAAAAAAATTGAGAATACAATAAAACGAATTTAGTAAATCAATAAAAATGAAATGGAATATAAACTCACACCTTCCATTTGTTCTTGCATTATGTCGGCTTCCTCTACTGGTTTTATTTCACGTATTGTTGTTTATATTAGGCAACAGAAGTATTCCTGTTGTAACTGTTTAATCCTTAATGCTGGATGGATTTCAAATGCCACATTTGCCACACACAGTCCTTTGATTGATTTTAATTGCATCTTATTGTCATCAAGCTGCACTTAAGACATAAATGCAGAATTGATGATGTTCAAACTCAGACATTTCTTTTGTCTTTCCTCTTGTGCTTTCTAGGATGTCCAGTGGAGGGTGCTCCTTCCCCTCCCAGTCTTGCTCCTCAACCTCTCCACATCTGCCCTCCCTCAACCTCAGCATCAAATCGGAGCGTAGCTCTCCTGAGCACATGTCCTCACCCACCTCCCCTCCTCTACACCACCTCAGGCAGCATTCTCCAATGAGCAACCCCGAGTCTGCTCGCCATACCCCTCCGGAAGCCCGTCCAACCAATGAGACGAAGGAGTTTCCCAAATCTGGCTACCCACAAGATGAAGAGGAAGGGGGGCAGCAGCCGCTCAGGCAGTTAGAGATAAGTGATGGGTGGCAGAGATAGCTAGCTGCTGCAGTCTAACACCATCTCCCATTCAATCAGCTATCTTCCATCAAAACCAGTCCTCTCTTACACACACACACACA